GGGAACATGTTTTTATTACCTATCACGCAACTATGTAACACAACACGTTTCACAACAAACAACATTAAATGTTACATTACGTATGAAACAGGGCGTGTCGGAGGCCTGTGTTTTACAGATCCAGAATGTTATCCTCTTACCTGGAACACTATACAAGGCCTTAAAAGGCCAACAAGAGATACACTTTGCACTCTAAATAAAATAATACATGCGACCCAGTGCTCCCCCTCCCTTCCTGGAGGCTGAATGCCCAGGTTATAGGAAGGGACACCCAGCACAAGCCAGAGGTGGTGTTTTTCTTCTTCTGGTCCCTTCCTTTCTCTTCTTTGTCTCCTCTCTGTTGTGCTGCCTGCCTTTTTATTCCTTTTATAATCAACCAGACTGATTTCACCAGAAGATACCCTTTGATCATCTGTGTTTACCTGTCCCATCCTACAGCTGGGCAAACATCTCAAATTCTACCAGGTGGTTGTAAAATTTCCTCCCACCTCTTTGCCATCCATACCACTGTTTTTGTAGCTAAGAACAAAGCAGAATCTTTTATCTCTCCCAGAAATGATAGTCTGGCCACACAGCCACAACGGTGATAAAAGCAGTGTGGTTGAGAAGAGAGGAGGCAGCACTTCTCTCACAGTGAGGAGTAATTAGAACTGGGCAGAGGGCCCATAATTCACAACTGTGTTTGGTGACGCCATAGATTTTCTTAATCTGCACGGTGATGTCTTCTAGAGCATAAACAGCCTACATTGCTCAAGATTGATGGCATGCAGCTTGTAAGTCTATGTGTCTTATTTAGGATGCTTCATAAAGGATAAAAGGGAGCCGGCATTCAAAACATGATTTAGTATTCTGTTCTGGCTTCATCCCTTTGAGAAAAGATACGTTTTCTGTGCTCGGTTTTGAACTTACTGTTGAGCTCTGTTTGTACAGTATCTACGCTACTGCTTTCATTGATTTCAGCATTTGAGCGTACATAAATGCCTGTAAAACTTGTTTAGCTTGTTTGCTAATAATATGTATTAATACTACTAACAATAGTCTTGTCAGAAAGACTTACTGTATGAAAGATCCAGCATCCAGTTTCAATGGGTTGGTTAATTCAAAATGCAGAGATCCTTGTGTCAAAATATATTCTTGTTTCCTGCTTCCAACTCCTCTTAATTTCCACCGATGAGGCCATGCCTTTATTTTGTTGTAAAGACTAAGATGAGTAAATAACTCAAAGGCAGTGGTTCTCAAAACACTACATCTTTTGTTTTGTTGGTCCTACAGACTGAAAATGTCAAATAGGTTTTGCAGTTGATGTCAACCAGTTGTCAGGTTTTGAATTTCAGAACAGTACATGTCTACACATGTGTGCAGCCTGACATGTAACTAGCTGGGACTCTGTTGCTCATTGTGTCTGATACAGTCTCATTCCCACCTGTGTGTGCTCATCACCAGTTGATCAACTGGTACGAGCTGATTAGGCACAAATAAGAGCAATCAAATGGAGAAGATGGCTCTATGGAGCTCTGCACACTGAAATTCTTCAAAACAGAACCTGTGAAGTCATGTATTTTTGACAGTCAGGAACTAAAAGTCTAACCAAACACACAAATCGTGATTTAGAAATGGAGGCGCAGAGCTCAGCAGGAATGAAAATCAGCAGAGAAATCCTCCAGAAGCAGGGCTGCTGGTACACCCTGCTCTAAGACTGGAACACTGTACCATTTAATGTGAAATATTACACTATTTCTGTTATCTCTCGTGCTCCCAGTTTTGATGGCGCATGACTGGAGAATGCACATTGAACTTGCTATCGCCAGGAATCGGAGCACTGCGCATCTCTCTTGCTATGTACAGTCCGTAAAATGGTCATTATTCAGTGCAAACTCTCTTCAATCACTGTTTCTATTCTCTAGGAGAAGTCATCAAATACTGGTGGGAGATGTTAAGCATGTTAAAATGTTTGCATAAGACTGCTCTGGTATACCACTTAGTAACAGCTTCATAGGACATGTAATATGATACATGTAATATAATATGTAATTTGATAATATTACATACTACATGCAATATTAAATGACATATGCCATTTTTCTCAATAGAAATAGATCTATATAATAAAATCTATCCATTTTCTAACAACTTCAAGCAATGGGCACAAGGCAGGGTACACCCTGGACAGGACACCAGTCCATCACAGGGCACACACAGACACAGACACGCACACACTCACAGCAGGGCCCAGTCTGCCAGAAGCCAATCAAGCTACTAGTGTGTTTTAGACTGCGGGATGAAACCGGAGCACCCAGAGGAAACCCACACAAACACGGGAGAACAAACAAACTCCACGCAGACAGCACCTCAGGATCTAAGCCCAGGGCCCCAGAGCCGTAAGGAAACGATGCTCACCACTGCGCCTGTGTTAGAAGGGGGATTTGACCTTGAGCTCCTGTAAGGGTATGAGCAGCAGTTTAGCCCATGAACCTACTGCAGCTCACAAATGAACATGTCGTGTACACTTTTGTCATCTTTACGTTGCTGCTCTGGGAATAGCTCAGGGAAGAAAAAACAGATCCACTTCCGGGTTTAAAAGAAGGACGTTTCCTGACAGAC